CCGTGGCTATCAGCAATCGCAAACGACCCTCGCGAAACGCTTTCATGGTTGTTTCGCGCTGCTCTTGAGCAATGTCACCATGCAGCACTTGGCACTCCGTCTTGATCTCGGGATGCACTGCAAGCTCATTACAATCTTTTTTTGTTTCAGCAAAGATTATTGTGCGTGAGTCCTTTTTGGCGTAGACACCAAGCAAGTTTGCGAGCAATGTCGGGCGTCCTTGCCAATGACATGGAATGGCAATATGTTGTACATCTGTGGATGCCTGATCATCCGAGTCTTTGACAAGATTCACGTACTCGGCTTTTTTCATGTACTTGTCAGCCACATCTTTCACCCACCTTGGAATCGTTGCAGAGAACAAAAGCATCTGACGCTTGCCTGTCCTCTCGTTCTGTACCATTTCCATAGCAGTGAAGACCTTCTGCACGTCCTCACGAAACCCCATTTCTAGCATAGTGTCAGCTTCATCAAGTATGAGGAACTCGCAATTGTGCAAACGCAAGTTACCACGGTCAATGTGGTCAATCACACGACCAGTTGTACCCACTAAAATATCTACACCGCTTCGAAATGCGTTGTTCTGTGACTGGTACGAGGCACCACCGTAAATGCACACCGTACTGAGTGATGGTCCCGTAAGTTCAAACTCCGAAGCCACTTGTTTAGCCAGCTCGCGAGTGGGAGCCATACAAATGACACGAGGAGCACGGCCACGAGCACGCGGGCGCTTATCCTTTAGCAAAAGCTCAATAACAGGCAGAGCAAAAGCCAGTGTTTTTCCCATACCCGTGCGTGCGCGACCCATGATGTCATTCCCATCCATAATTTTGTCAAATGTCATAGCTTGGATAGGAAAGAGAGTGTGAATACCTCGGGCCTTAAGATTCTTCTTGGTTTCATCGCAGATGCGAAAGCTATCAAGTGAAGGGTTCTCCTCGCCTCCAACGTGAGTAGCATTTTCGCTCTTCATTTTCTTAGCTAAAGGAACCTCCATCTCACTCTCACCCGTTTCATCAGCTAAATCCGTTTCGTCAGTCTCCAAGTCGCTTTCGCGGTGCCGCTTTTTGCTCTTTTTTTCCTTCTTCTCCTTCTTTTGCTTCTTCTCCTTCTTCTCCTTCTTCACCTTCTTCTCCTTTTTCAAACTCGAATGAGAGTTTTCATTCTTCCTTTCTCGCGCTTGTTCTTTAGCTATTTTTTTAGCCATCTTAGCAAGCTTTTTCGCAGCCTTCTCTTCCTTCGTTAGCTTAGGTTTCGTGTCGTTGAGCGACATGCTTGACCTGACGTCAAGAGATGCAGTGAGCTCCAATCAAGTTCGAGCCCAACCAGCAAACGATTGGTTGGAAACACCCGTGTGGTGTATTCCACACATTGAATGTAAAAGTGGTCCACCTACAACAAACAGTTGTGTATATTTGGTGTATTCTACTTTTTATCAACAGACCCCCCCATTCCTCATGGCGGACTTTTCGCTGAGTGATAGCTCGGCTACGTGGCCATCAGGAGGTGTCAACGATGGCAAGCGCCCGCCACTGCCCACGTCCTTTCGACCCGATAAACGTGGTCGCGCAGCTAATGATAGCTCTGCGTCCGTGGAAGTGAGCGGTCCAGCATCTTCCGGTGGACGATCTGGGATATCAACCGACGAATTGTCTCATTCAGCCAGCTGGAAGTCGTCAACATCGTCTACGGATGGTGCATCGGGTGATGTAAACACGGGAATTTACACACGCGTATATCTTAAAGTCAAGGCACCAAGTCGTTTGGGCGAGACAGTGCACTGCTCTGGCTCGTCCTTTATTATGGGACACTTTAATCCAAACGAGAGTATGACACTTGTCACGACGCCTGACGAATACCCATACTGGAGGACAGTCAAGCCCATGATATTGCCGCAAGGCGTACCGCATCAGTACATGTACGCGCTCTTTTCAGGTGGAGTTTTCAGCTCTTGGGAACAGATTGAACATGAGAGAGTATTAATCCCCGAAGGACGCGAAATGCTTGTAGTGGAGGAGTATGGAAACTACACTCAAGACATGGAGCTTCTTCCAACTGGCGAGCGCATCGAACGCTCACTGGTTTACGAGCGGCGAAGAGACGAAAGTTCTGCAAAGTTACAGGATAACGTGTTGAAAGACATTTCAGCTACTGTGGACGAAAATTTAAAAGGAATGGAAGCCACAGTGGCAGTTAGAGCTCTGGACGAGAAGGATATGGTAGACGCAAGATCTCCACACAGCAGCGTAGCAGGTTCACCCAGTCAAAGATTTCGTCAATCTATAAAGTTGCAGAGCCGATATAAACGATACATTCCATCCAGTTACCGTCCATCGCCAGATGCCATGCTGTTTTTAGTGTGTTACCATCTACCAGTCAAACTGACTAAATCGACGGATGATGGATCATGGACTGCTACTTGGAATCGTGACAGTTTAATTTCTAGAAGTGACAATAGTATTGCAGAAAGTGTGAATACGACGTGGATTGGATGTGTCACGTATCACGCGCGAAGCGACCTCGAGGAGCTTTCAGAGGATGACAAAACTGAAATTACAGCAATTTTGGCCGATATGAGCTGCATTCCAGTATTCATTGACCGCCAACTAGCTGCAAACCACCACGGTGGATACTGCAAGAGTAAATTATGGCCCATGTTTCACAATGTAGATATTTTGGACATTTACTATTCAATCTGGGACCGTGCCGAAGTAATTGAATGGAAAGAAGAACGTAATAATGGAGAGTGGTGGGATGCGTATCAGGAAGTAAACAGGTTGCTGGCAAAGCGAGTAGGTGAGCTATGCAAGGAGAATGATACGGTGTGGGTGCACGACTACCATTTACTATTGTTCCCGTCATACCTTGCGAATATGTGTGGGATCGCAAAACGCAAACGGCCGAATATGGTCTTCTTTTTGCACGTGCCATTCCCTACCTCTGAGGTCTTTCGCGAACTTTCTCATGGTACGCAATTGCTAGAAGGCGTGCTGGACGTAGATGTTGTTGGGTTCCACTCGTTTGATCATGCGCGTCACTTTCTAAATGCCTGCAAGCGGTTTTTAGGACTAACCTACCAATCTCGACGCGGTGGCAATCTTGGGGTGGACTATCATGGCCGTAATGTGGTCATTACAATAAGTCATGTGGGTATCGAAACGACGCTTATACGGAAAGTTCTAAATGATCCGGACGTGCAAGAAGCTGCTCGCAAATTGCGGGATAAGCACGCAGGCAAAGTACTTATCGCCGGTGTCGATGTTTGTCAAAGACTGAGTGGTATTCCACTTAAGATGCTGGCGTTTGAACAGTTTTTTAGCAACTGCCCGTCTTGGAAAGATAAGCTTGTTTTTGTAGAACGTGCGACATTGACGCAAACGAGATTGGGTGATCAAAACTACAGTAGCAACGAAATTAGCAAGTTGGTGAAGCGAATTACTAAGGCTCACGGCCCAGGGTGTATAGACTACGAGGAGTCGTCCTCACCACTTACGATAGAGGAACGTGTGGCGCTGTGGCTTGCCAGCGATATTTTGATGGTAACATCTATTCGCGAAGGACTGAACCTCAAACCACTCGAATTCGTGTTTGCAAAGGGTGTAAATTCGACTGATCGACCGGGCGTTGTCATTTTAAGCGAATTCTCAGCGTGCTGTTGTGTTCTAAACGGTGCTGTGCGCGTAAATCCGTGGAATATCACAGGGCTTGTGAACTCGTTGGACAACGCGTTGACAATGAGTAATGAAGAACGACTTGGTCGTCGTGCGAGAGATTTACCGTATATTACGAATCAGCCAGCCGCCAATTGGACAAAGCAAGTGCTGTCTGTTCTTCAAGAGGCAACAGAGAACTCAGCAGGAGACGAAGAACTCACAAATATGGAATACATGGACACAGAAATAGGCCGATCTCACGTTGTGCGAGTGGGAGATCGACTGGACTTCAAGCAACTGAACATTGACAAAGTCATCGAGGCCTATATGCAGTCCAATCGACGTATGTTTTTGCTTGGTTATGGCGGCACCGTTGTTGCTCGCGAAAACATTGCCATGTACGTTAAAAAGGATTTTACTGCCGTGACAGGTAAACGACCGTCTTCTACCATGATGGACGCTTTGAAGAATTTGTCTAGCGACTCACGCAATTCAATTTTTGTCGTGAGCGGCGTGACTAAAGCAACTCTAGCTGCGTCTCTTGGACACATTCCTGGCCTTGGTCTGGTGTCTGACAACGGCGCGTGGTACTCATGGGCGCAATCAACAGGCGGTGATGATACAGATGACGTGATGATGCAGGATAGTGGCAATTCCATCGAACGCCGCTGGCACCAACCCAATTTTAAGCTTGACTGGCGTCCAGTTCGAGAGGTGGTTGATCCGATTTTAAAAGTCTATTGTACACGTACAAATGGCAGCGTCCTACGATATGCACAACAAAGTATTGCATGGAATTTTCGCTCTACAGATCCGGAATGGGGACTGTTGCAAGCTAATTCATTGCAAAGTGACTTGGAAGAAGTTATCCGTGATCTTCCAGTTACTTTGATTCGTAAAAAAGGCTTGTTGGAAATCGTGCCTGAGGGGCTAAACAAGGGTATTGTGGCCCGTCAGATCTTAACGCAAGACGTGACGACTGGTCACAGTCATCCAGATTTTCTCTTTTGTATTGGAGACGACACGACAGATGAAAGCATGTTCAAGGCAATTTACGACTATTATGCAGAGCGCACCGAGGAGAGTGTGCACGGACGTACCGCTGGTACTTATGAGGATCACGTTACTGCTACGGACGATGGTCCACTTCACCACGTTTTCACATGCACAGTAGGCAAAAAACCCAGTAACGCACATTTGTATGTCAACAACGTGGACGAGGTCGAGCTGCTTTTCCAAGCACTGGGCAAAGCAACAGGCGAGGTGCGGTGATTCATCATGACTTTCAAGATTTGTCTTCTCATGGATTTTTGCTTTCAGAAATCCTCGGCGAAGTGGTAAGGATTCGAAGATGGTAGTAGCTAGCATCGTAAGAAATGCTTCATGTGAAACGCAAGCGTGACGAAAGAAGTAGAGCCCTAGATTTCGGTGGTAGTATTTGCAACGTATCTATCGTGTGGCAATTTACCGAGTTTCCATCAGCTGGTTCTTTCTCTTGAAACCTTGATGTGACTCGACTTATTAATCATAATTTAAATTGCCAGCTGAGCTCAGAAGGAAACGTGGTACATTATTACAATACGTCAGTCTACATGCGAAGTTACACTTAATTTCATTCATCACAATCGACAGCAAGCAAGCAGTTTTTTTCCCATCGTGTCTTATAATATGACGAGATATAACGTCCCTTCTCCCGCCAAGCTTTCCAGTCTGCCAGTTCTTCAGGCAATAAGTCGGGAACTAAATTGGTGCTCAGCGAATGATCAGACTCGGTATTGTGCAGAAACATTGCATCAGTAATCCCATCGTAGCTCAAACGGTAATTGCCGCGCACCACGGACATTTTGTGACCGGGGACGTTACTGAAGACTACACGCTCGCCGAAAGGAACTTTGCGCTTTAAAGAGCGACCAACGCCATCCTGGACGAATCCTCCTTCAGGCAACCCTGTAATATCCGCCAAAGTATTCAGGATATCATAGTGCTCTGCAACGTCTTCAATCTTTAGACCCGCGTACTTTCCAAGACGTCCCTCTGCAAGAATGAGGCCGGGTACTCGTGTGAGGGCTTCTTCGTCAGTGTAGATTATGTCATTTTCAGGGGATTGGCCATGATCGCCATAAATGACCACTATAGTGTCATTTAAGATACCCTTTCGATCCATGCGGTCCAGAAACTTTCCCAATTCCATGTCGGTAAAATATCGAGCTTCGAGATACCTCTGAAGTCTGGCTGAATTTTTTTCTCCCTTGTACAAGGAAGAAAAGTCAGGTTTCTTCGATTCTGTAAACCACTTTGGCACTGAATCGAAGGGCCAATGGGTGGTGATGGTACAATGCGTGATAAAAAGCGGCTTCTTTGGGTTACCTTTCTGCTCGCGTTCCTTTTGCGTGGCAATCTTGTTGACGAGTAAGTCCCCAAGAATTTTAAAACTCACGTCGTCATGAGCCCCCCAATGAAACCCTCGATGGGAGTTGCCTTTCCAGTCCTTGCTAGTGATATTTAGATTTTTTTTAGCCAGCTTCTTGATGTGATTGTAATTCCAAACTGAATCAAACCCGTGGGACGGAAGGAATTTATCCCAATTGTCATGGGCAATGGTTGATCCGGTTGTGAAAAAAGTTTCGTATCCCTTAGCTTTAAACAACTGAGGTAAGCCAGAAAGCTTTGTGCCCGGTTTGCCGTCAGTGAGACCAGTTCTTACGGCATTATCATACGGTATCTGCCCAAACAACACGCTCTCAATAGAGCGACTTGTAGGATTGCTCGTCCAAAAATTTCGAATAGCCACGCCACGCTTTGCCCACCTGTCAAAGTTCGGCGTAACGGTAAGATTAGTTTTCTTGAACAATTGAGAGGGGTCGTTTTGTCCGACAAAGTATCGTGAATCTCGAAAGCGAAAAGATTCAACGCTGATAAGAAGAACGTTCGGAGGACTGTCTTTCGATATTTCAACGTCAAACGCAAGCTCCCCACGATATCCTGTAGTAAGTCGGTAGAGGGTGTCGTTTCCAAACACCTCATATTTTTCGGTGGGGTGAATATAATTTTCTATCAGTGGCCGGTTGTTTGCATCAGCGAATGTAGAAAGTGCCTGGGGCGGCTGAAGAGCCTGCCCAAACAGCTCATTTAGCGTAACGTTAAGCGCCGAGAAAGCCATTAAAGGCGAGCACTCACAGCACACTACGACAAGACCTATTGACACGACAACGAGACAAACGAGGAAAGCCGAGATTTGAATCATCTCGTGAGCAGGATGTTTATTCATCAAACCGACATTTTGGTCTTGCGAAATCATGCCTTCTTCAAGAGGAATTTCATTGTATTCTGACCGATTGATGAAATTCCATGTAGTATTTCGTGTGACACCACTGGCAGGATTTGCCATCAGGTGTATCGGAGTCCAGGAACTGAGGTCCGTCCAACTCGCCATCGTTCTTACAAGCGCAAATATCGTAGCATTAATAAACAAAAAGGCAGCAACCACGTAACATCGATAAAGATCTTCGGGCGACATTGGAACTTGACTGAGATCCCGTCTTTCCCTTATTGCTGTACCCAAGAGTTCAAAAGTAAAGCGCATTTGTTGGTTTAGTATAAGTAACAAGTCGGCAGCAACAGGTGCAACTACAGCAACGAAGAGACTCCACGATACTGTGAACGTTGCAGAGTATGTGACAACTCGCACAATTCTTGAATTCATCTGAGGTTTTAATTGCGCGATGAAAGTGACCTTCAGCATGTCGAAGACATACAATGCACACACGAAGTAAGTCGTGCAGACAAAATCCTCGATGAATCCGAGACCCAATGCAGTAACCTTATAACTTGTGGTATAGTCTTGTGGACTCCCGTACATCATTGCCAATGTCTTGAGAGTAACGCATCGACTCGCAAAGAAGCAAAAGAGCATAAATGCGTACACGAAGAACCATCCAAACCATGGGCGATGAAATATTTTTTTGATCATCTGACGAGCTTGATTTGATGGACCTTTCTCTGATATCGAGCTGCGCTTCCAACAAACACCATCAGTAAGAACGGGAGGGTCTGAAAGTCGACGACCAGATATACACACATGCTCGGTAACCATGAGATAGAGAACTGAAAGCTGCAACTACAACACGTGGCAGAATAAACAGATTTACAAACTGGGTATAGCTCTATTGTATTTTCTGTTTCATCTAATAGTAATTGATGCGACTATCCCTCTTTCTTCTTTTCACACATTGGGTCGTCGTAATCTGCTATTCTATACTGTACTCGCCTTTTTTTCTGCTAGCCGAACATACGGTCTTAATGCTTTACATCTTTTGTTAATCCTTACACCAACATTTTATTTGAATGTTCTCGGTGATGGGTCTTCAAGTCGTTTGAACGGTATGTATTTCTTTGAGTTACATGCCGTACATAAAACATTGGATCCACAATGTGCGATAACGCTGGATGGTCGCGATAAGATCCTCACATCATCTTCTAATTGTCGTGTCGCAACCGATAGTGTCCAGTTGTAATGACCGATACCAGTTTCATGAAGGCGTTTTAGTCTTCAAATAGCGCTAAACAAGAAGAAAATGTCCTTATGACACGTGTGTTTATTGTGCAACGCTCTCGGCTCACATACAGAAGATCACTCAATTCCTAATGACTTAATATTCTTGAGCAACGAAAGCAGATTCTGTCCAAAGATGTGCTTTGAGTCGTTGAGAGAGCGAGTTCATGGCAGAAAAAACTCAAAATAGCTTTTACAGGAGCATATGGTGACGCCATTAACTGAATCTTCATGCTTTACAGTGCGTGAGCGTGGATTTGTTATTCTTCGCATAGGGCTGGCAGAAAATTCTGCGATTCCACTGTAGAGGGTTGAAGCGATTATGAATCGAGTAGTAGAAATGTCGGTACATACCCAGGTTTTCTGGTGAACAGAGCGACGAATTGATCGCTATTATAAATTTGACACTTTTATTACATGGTTATGGGCAACAGTATCATTAACACAATTACATTTCTCTTTCGTCATGTTGAAAGTATAGGCTCAACGTATGCATGTGAAGTCATCATCTTCAAATAAGATTCGAGGTTCACATTCTTACAATTGAAGCGTACTACAATTCTCACACTTGTAGTATCTCACAATTAAATTACATAGGGATGAAGTTCGTAGCGCGTTTGTACCGTGTAGTCAAAACGTAAGGCTCGACACTGAGCAATCTTCTTCTGTCCTCAAATGACCCTACAACCTAAACATCGAGATGCTTCCTTGAAGTATATTCAGGGTTCCACTACTGCAACGACCGACGACACCGGGAGAACTGATGCGTGACGCACATTCTGTGACTTATCCGAGGAGATGATATCCACCATGAGAAGCAACACTTCCGAGCAGTTGCTTTAAGTCATCAGTGATCGCTATGAGCCCTCCTTTATCATTCCATTACCACCACCAACGCCCCAAAATGTACTTCACTCGTTTCAAAATGCCCTGGTCGACTCTCGCGGCAGAAGCAATAATTGTAGCTCCTTTGAGTTACAAAAGCTGCCAACGTACTCACTAGTATAAGACGCAAAGTGTAAAAAGAGTACCACAACGATTAGTAGCTAGCCGACAAAGCAACATTGTTTGTAGTGCGCATACTAACTGACGCGAGATCAGTGCCCCTCTTCTTCCATCCTATATCCTCTGCGAGTCGTAAACTGCGCGTTTTATCCTCTCCATGCTCCTTGCAACGTCTGTTCAACAAAAATGGATTCCGTCCTGCGGCTGGTAGCAGACGTGACCAGGGACACCTGAATCAAAGACCTATTACAGGTCCACTGACGCTGTGATGCAAAATACCAGGATAGGAAGATGACAGCCTCACTGCATGTTTATGCTTGGAAATTGTTAAATATACGAAAGAATCGTTCCTGCCGAGGAGTATGTCAAATAGCCTTATTACAAGTTCAGTTCAGACATCGCACTTTGAGCAGTTCCTGGGTTAGATCGAGCATGAACTGGAGGTTACTTCCATGTCGACAGAGTTAAGATAAGCTTGAAGGCGTAGGAGATATCGGAGGATCAGTTGTCGTCTCCGTCCAAAGCAGTACTGCGTACGTTCAAATAACTTCCTAAGTCGGGCAGTATTGTAGAAAGTTTCGGTGCAGGTCAGGGCTCTCTATAATTTGTTTACACATCGCTTTGTTGCACAAGTGGTGAATGCTCAAAGTTTGTTACATCTGTTCGATGAAGAAATATGCTCTCTTTGAAAGTTATAGCACGGCTGTTGATCATGCCATACGACTTATGCTTTAAAACACCTACGTATTGTAAAATGGTGCTCGTGCGCCAAGTATATCGCGAAATTGTTCAGGATTATGCACGTAGGCACTACGTCCAAATATTCTGAGAAAGTCTGTGGATGGTTATAAGGTGCACGGCCGTGGAAGTCATGTTGATCAAAATAGTGCAATAACATACGCAGTCTACAAAAATGCCATCAAACGGTAGAACTTGAGTGCGATCGATAATTCTCGCTGGGCGACCTCGTTTTCTCGAGTGGTGCATGCACCTCAACTGCGCATGTGTTCCTCATTCCATGAAAATTTTGGTCGAATTCTTCATACTTGTTCTCTGCATTGTCTGCTTCCAGAAATTGAAATTCACAGATCCCAGCAGGACGCGTATATTGATGCCGTTATAAATGATTGTACGGACTTCTATTCTTCTAAGCCTCCTTTGCTTCTGTTCGTGATCGGGTACATGGTGATGTAGACCAAGAGATTATCGATGAAAATAAATAAATATCTAGGAAGACTGAGCTAGGGCGTTAGGCCATGCACTTTCAGTAAAAAATGTATTGACTCTTATTAAGTTGGAATAGAGAGCACGCACTACAGAAGAATTGTGCATTGACGTCGAGAAATGACTCATTGCTTAGATAACTGATGGCTTGGTTTCTGATAAAACTTGCTTATGCGTACGCTAGAACGACCCAGTCTTTTGTGTTAAAGCAATTTTGAGCATTGCTTACCTGAAGTGACTGATTCGATCTTGATGTTGTTTAGGCCAGCATGGGTTGCCTTAACTGTGTTGATCGTGAAATACGCGTCACAGCGCATTGCTTGCGATCGTAGCTAAAGCAAGTAATCATGCTAAAAGCTACCGGGGTGTAGAAGCTGGGAGCCTGCATCACATAGCACCTATATGGTGCTTTTTAAGTCAGTGACTTCAGCCTAACTTTGCCATTTCCATTAACGGGTATTTAGTAGAACCGATAACTTTTGGATATCGTCGAGAACCATACGCATACATCCAAAATCGATCATCCAGATGGATTATAGGGATGCAATGCTTTTCGTGGCCAAACTAAATTACGGTCCCTGCAACACAACATCACGGCGCTCTTCGTAAAATTTATTGCAATCATCGAAATAAACATCGTTTGCTCGATCGGTAGTCACGTCGATCACTATTTCCACAGCAATAGTGGCTGGCTGTGTTTATGACCAGACTCCCTGTTGTCGTGGCGACACGGTTACTGTGGTTGACGCTGCTTCCCCAGTGCAGGATGCACCGTGCCAGCTTTTACCGATGTGGAGGGAAAATCACTTTGAAGAGTGATAGTGCCAAATGATATGGCATAGATACTCACAGTACATGAATGAAGAAAACGTGGTCGGCCCCCTTTACGTAGCTTTCTGATCTAGAAACTCATTTAGAGTTGATTTTGAAAAATTTTAGAGATAAAGTCTACCTCATTTTTTCACAACAAAAATCGGTCTTCACAACTCAGTGTGGTTACTATCCTAAATCAGGCTTTAAGTAGTAATGCTTTGTAAGTGCGATTTGAAACATGGATATGTTGCAAGAATATTAGCTGTTTTTGGCTTTGAGAAATAGTTTAGACTAAGTCATAATTTGTGAATAAACGTGGTGATTCATATAATGACTTCACACAAACACACATTTGTGTCAAGCCAATAGCACATAAATACTTCAACACTAGTGCATCTTTACTATATTCGTAGTGAAGTAAGTAATTCATCATTGGTGCATACCCACATACTATTTCGACAATATTTACTTCTTGTTTATGCAGATCAAGGAAATTGGATATCGACGCCGACGTCAAATACAAAGTTTTCAAAGCATACTCTACTTGCCAATGTGTCGGAGGCGCCAACGAGATTCCATATTTTTAGAATTTCTTATCAAGCGTTGTCTTTGGGCAGAGTTTGCATAATTCAAAGCCAGAGTTTATTGACCTGGCTTATTTTCCAAAAGCGTTTACGAAAGTGACCGGCAGCAATTTGCACAGATGTGAAGCAAACTGTGCCCTATGGCACAGCTTTCAATAATATTCGAAAACGGATGTTAGATATAGTTGGGGTGCGATAAAAGCAGCGACCATGCAGGATTTTAGATGACGCCAATGAAAAAACGTTTTTACGTCCGAATCTCGCCAGCTAAACGTTGCAGGAACAGTTATCTGGTTCACAACAAATATCGTTTTGCCATTGAGTTGTCTCCCGTCAAATCGAGATGAAGTTGTTTGACTTAAAGTCTTTTCTGAGGTGTACAGACCATGCGTCACTGCGCACAACGACATTGTCGTCGATAAATTCTCAGAAAATGGCAAGGTATTTACTTTATGGGCGATAATATCTTCAGCGTCAAGCATAATCGATTGAATAGCGGATGAGCTTTCGCGTTCCGTAGATCATGTGTAAAATCATGTCACGATGAAGATGTTCGGATGAACAATGCTATCCGTACGACGTACAATAAAGAATGAACCTGTGCTGCGGTTTAAACTCGTTAAAGATAAGTTTTGAACTCACAAATCGCCTGATCTGATATGTTTCCAGCGTGTTTATACAACTATTTCTTATCTCAGTGCATGCCGCAATACAGCAGGAGTCGCTCGACGGACAGCTTGTGCAGCGAGGCTGCCGTGGCTCTTTGCTTAGAGGAAGCCAAGCTAGGGTCACCGAACATACATTTTATACAAGAACGAGTAGGAGTGTAGGGGATCGCAACCCGCTACGTCCAGATTACTTTAAACCCATTAACGAGGTAAAGACGCTCTTCCGCTCAGAATTGACACTGTGTTT